CAATTTAATATGTGTGGAGAATCTGGTTTCTTCTCTTTGCAGATGCTTTTTTCTTTTTCCTGGAATGTGCTTTTCTTGATCAGTATCTACCTCAAGGTACAACTCAAATGTCACCTCCTCGTGAAGCCCTCCCTGACTGCCTACACTTTGGCTGAGTGAACTGCCCCCAGTGCCCTTGCTCGCATAACCCTCACATTGCGCACATTTATTAACTTTCCCCTACTGTATTGTGTCCTTATAGATGGGACATATGTCTTCCTCAATTCTGAATCCACAATGCCTCCTAGCGCAGTTCCTGGCAAGTAGTACTGCTTAACAATTTTTGCAATAAACCATACTTTATATAACAATGCAGTAAATTCCATTTGGCCCTAAAAATTATTTTAAAAACTAAAGGAAGTGGAAGTTTATGTATTTCAGCTGTGGAGAAGACATAATAAGGAGACTCAGGACATCATCAGATGCGATTAATATCACAGATAGGAGAAAAATGTCCTTGACAAACAGCTAAACAAAAATTAACCTCATAACATACGCTAGCCAAGTACCCTAATACATTCAGACATAGCTAGTAACCATATGAACTTACTGGAAAGCAAAAGAGCAAACACAAATATGTCCGTCTCCAGGGGAGGGACTCTCATTAACCCGGTTTCGGTTGTGTGGCTCAGGATACTGTGATGGCCAGCCGTGGGCACATTTGCTGTTGAGCAGGGAGCAGGGACTCTGATAATTTGAGAAGGTATTTTCCAGAGGATGGGAAGAAATTGATGTGCTATTACTAGATGAGGATATTAGGCAACACAGATGACAGCAGTTGTACAGTTAATATTGTCATAATATAGACAGCTAAGTTAGAATCTAGGATTCATCCTTTACAAACATTATGAAATAGGGGATGTTTCTTAATTTGAACATCAGCTTTCTTGTCTTTCAAAAAGATACACCTCCCGGGATGTTAATAGAAATAGGGAAAATGGACAAATCCACAACCACAGCAGGAAATTTTAT